GGGGGGGGGGAACTACTGGGGCCTCTGCTAATGAGCAGCCACATGACCTGGCCTTACCCTCTCCTCATCCTGCAATGAGGAAGATGAACGTGCCAAGACCCATCCACATAGGGCCCACGACTAAGCTTATGGTACTGGTTCAAACCACAGGGGGTTCTGGTTACCCTGAAAATTCTGTTCTCTGGAGTACCCCATTCCGACCTCAGCCTCTGCTGTGTGTCACCTCGGGCAAGTCTCATGTCCTCCCTGAGCCACAGGGTCTGTGCCAGTCAAGGGTGGAGGATTCCAATTACACCCTGGGGCTCTGTTGTGAGGGCTGTGTGTGGTCATGTCGGCTGGGACTGCTCTGCCGGCTCAGCTCAGATGTCGGCTACTCCTTTTGTTGGTATTACTCTCCAAGAACTTGGGGCAACTGGGGCCTCGGGCGTGCGGAGGGTGCTAACTGCATGATGTCGTCTTGGGTTCTGACAGTAGTGGTTGGCCATGTTCAGGAGACCAGAGGTCAGGGGAAGAACACGGACGTCTGACCTGCTCAAGCGGCACGGGGCTCCACCCATGCCCTCTGCCCTCAGCTCACGCAACTCCCTTTGCCCAGCCACCTTTTATTTCCCTGAACAAGCGGGGCCTCTTCGCCCCTCTGAGCCCTCCCTTGGGCCCACAGCATCAGAGGCTCTCCTCAGGAACCGTGGTGTGCCCTGTGCCCATGACGATGGCCGAGCTGCCAAAAGACCCCTTTCTCAGGTGGGGAGTGTGAGGCACAGGGAAGCTGGAGTTCACTGAGGCTAAACTGTGGTTAGGCAGGTGTGGATAATGGCCTCCCAAAGAAGCCAATGCCTAATTCCTGGAACCTGGGGATATGTCACCTTACACAGCAAAGGGACGTTGCAAATAGAATTTAAGTGAAGGATCTGAGATGGGGAGATTGTCCTGGCGGGCCCAATGTAATCACAGGGGTCCTCATATGTGAAAGAAGGAGGCAGGAGGGTCAGAGTTAGAGAAGGAGATGTGATGATGAAAGCAGGTGCTGCAGAGAGATAGTTGGGGGAGGGGGGGTGGGAGAAGGAGGGGGAGTGATGGCGGAAGGAAGGAGGGGGAGACTTGGACATGTTAGGTTACTGGCTTTGGAGACGGAGAAGGTGGGACACCTGGGTGTCTCAGTGGGTTTAACGTCCCACTTTGGCTCAGGTCATGATCTTTCGGTTCCTAAGTTCGAGCCCTGTGTCGGGTTCTGTGCTGACAGCTCAGAGCCTGGAGCCTGCTTTGGATTCTGTGTCTGCCTCTCTCTGCCCCTCTCCTGCTCAGCTCTGTCTCTCTCTCTCTCTCTCTCTCAAAAAAATGATCATTAAAAATATTTTTTTGAAGATGGAGAAAGGAGCCACGAGCCAAAGAATGTGGGCAGCCTCTAGAAGCTGGAAAGGGCAAGCAAACCGACTCTTCCCTAGAACCTGCCTACACCATGCATTTAGCTCAGTTAGACTCCTTTTCACACTTCTGACCTCCAGAACTTTAAGAGAATAAATCTGTGTTGTTTTAATAAGCCAGTAAATTTTGGGTAATTCATAATTGGGAAACTAATACAGCAGAAGACTGGACTTTGGCTTTGTACCCAAAGGTCTTTCCACATCTCTAGGAAGGGAGCCAGGGGCTCTAATTCTGGCCTGGCACTGACTCACTGTATAAGTGAGGCCCCCCTTGTCCTGGAGCCACAGTCTCCCCATTTGCAAGGGACTGGAGTCCATTACCTGTAGGTCCCCCCAGCTTTCACATTCTAGGATGTTACGGGTCCACTCCACACATTGACCCCTAAACTTCTACCGTGGGACAAGCTGCCATTTCCTAACACTTCCAAGAGGGCCTAGCTGAATGATGGGACAGCTGTCTCCAGGGGCAGACAGACCTGCAGGTGCACCCAGCCTTTACTGCTTCATAGCTGTGAGACCTGGAAAAGGTGCTTAACCTCCTGGAGCCTTGGTGTCCTCACTTGGAAAACATGGATAATAATTTTTACTACGTATGGTTGTTGGGGATTAAAAAGGATCAGCATGTGATATGCTCAGCACTGTGCCTGGCATTTAGAAAGTGTTCAGCAAGGGGTGGTGGTGGTGATGCTGGTTCTTGCTGACCACAGGGTGCTAGGCTTGAGGGAGAGAGCAACTCTGTTCACCCCCAGCTGGCAGGAACACCGCACAGAGGTGGCCAGCTGGGAGGGCCCTGAGCTGAGGCTCTGAGACAGCCTGGGAGGAGCTGTGCTTCCGGTTGGGGATGTTTGCCCTGGTTCCCCTGCAGTGGACTTTTAGGGGGAGGTGGTGGTCCCGAGTAGGGTGTGTTGGCGAGGGGTCACTAAGTCAGCCACTGGGACCAGCCCAGGTCACTTGTACTTACTCAAATGGGTCGCTTGGGTCAGCTTTCTGAAGTTCTGGAGGAATCGGTATCCGCTTATAGTACATCTCCCAGTCAAAGGCGCCCCGCATGGCATCGCCCGCCTGCGTTTCGTACCGAAAGTCATCGTGGTCGATCACGTCAATCATCGGGCACACAATGGTCTTGCGGTTCCGGGCGATGCGGTCTGAAGAAGCCAAGAGATGCCCATTACGGAGGCAGGACAGGGCAGCAGCTAGGTCCACGACCCTGCTCTGCAGCTTACTCGCATTCTTAATGTGTTCCCTGAGTGACTTCTCCGAATGCTTGAGTTTGAGAATCCCAAGAGCAAGGGAGAGGGCAGGCTTTAAGAAAGATGGACCAGGGCTCCCGTCCCAGTCCTGCTACCTGCGAGCTACATAAACAATGTCTCTGAGCCCCAGTGTTCTCCTCTGTGAAATGGGGAGAAGAGGTTCAGCAACACAGGCTGGTAGGAGGACGGGATATGACGACAGTTCGAGGTATCCAGCACGGTCGCCTGTAATGGTCAGCGCCATTGCAGAGAGAGATTAACTTCCTATTGGGAGGGCTCCTGTTCTGGCCCTGTCAGGCTCCGCATTCTGGGTCCTAAGCTTGACTCATGGCTGAAGTAGCCAGGCACGCCAGCTCCTCAAAACTTCTCAGCTATGGTCAGTGAACAAGTGGTCCTCCTTGCGAGAGAGTTTAGCTCGCTTTTTCCAACAGCCAGAACTACTGAGGAGGGCATGTACTATCCCACGAACTCCTCCTGACTGATGTACAAGCAAAGCCTGGCAAACCTCTGCCCTGCAGGAATGCTACAGGCTAGGTGATTCAAGATGGCAAGGGCAGTCCCTAGCCAGATGGCTTTTTACGGTCCCCGTTAAGCCAGGGAGAAGCTGATTCTATACAACGCACTCTGCCCAACCTACCAACCAGAATTTTAAGCTTTGGTTTGTTCTGTTCTTCGATGTTCCTTCTGCCAAGAAGCCGTGGCTGCAGCTTGGGGGTGCCAGTGATAAAGGGGCCAGTGGGCTATGCTGGGGTGCCTGGCTGCTTGGGCCAGCAGTCAAGTTCAAGGGTGGGAATGTGGAGTCTGGTAGGGCCAGTGTAGGCTGGCATCTGCCTGGGGCTTGGGCTTCATCAAGTACTTTTTTCTTCCAGGAGAGAAAGCAGCATTCTTGCCCTTTCCTAAACTGCAAGACAACAATCCATAGATGGGTCATTAAATTGATCGAGTGTGTGTGTGTTTGTGTGTGTGCATGTGCATGTGTATAATGAACCAGGAAAGAATATTGAATGTCAGGGTGCATTCCACCTGATAAGAAAAAGTACTTTTTCAGGAAACAGGTTTCCGTTATATTGCATGGGTGTGTATCTGTGTCCTGGATTGAGATGTCCAATGTATTTCTAACTGTGGCACATTGGTTTAAAAAGTCTGAGAAGTACTGCTTTCGGCAGTGTGCCCTCTGGGCTACCAGTGCCCGATGTACCCATGGTGTGTTTAAAAAACTGCCAGGGCTGCTCCTGCCCCAGGTGCACTGAATCAGAACCTGTGGGGGCAGAGCTTGGGTCTGCCTTGTGAACAGGCTCCCTAGGGGTTCTAATGAAGTCGAAGAAACTTCTCCAGGGAAAGATCTAGAGAGGGGCCTCCCTTCCTAATTACAATTATTCACGCCCATGCAGGGGATTTCACTTCTGGAGAGGCTCTGGGCTGTGGCTCTGCTGCAGGCTGGCTGAGAGCGGGAGGTGTGAGGGGTCAAGGCTTAGCATCAGAGAGGCAGCATTCCAGGGTGCTGCGCTCACTTGGGGACAGAATGCCCAGGTCCCAACCCTGGCTTTGTCACCTACAAGCAGTATAACCTTGACAAAGGTTATCTGATGCCTCTGAAACCTCGCTTCCCTGCTGACAAAATGGAGGACGACAGCACCTGTCTCATGGGGTTCCTGTGAAGACCGAGGGGGACGGTGGGGCCAAGATGCTTAGCTCAGACTCTCACACATTCACACATCCCATTAGTGCTCCGCGGACATTGCTGTGACCAGGATTGCCGAAAGAAGCTCAGAAGCTGAGCATCTTCCTCATTCTCTTTGCTCTTTAGTTTTCTCATTTGTTCTATGTGGATAATAAGGCCTGGGCTGTCTACATTCCCATGTAACTGTCAAATTCAAAAGTGGCTGTGGCCTAAAAAGCCAAGGGACTAGCAGAGCCATGATGATGATGATGATGATGATGATGATGATGATGATGGCAGAAATGAGGATAAACAGTGGCTTTCCTTTGGGGGGCTGAATCCTTCTCTCTGGCTCAGGAATTCCTCATCTTCACAGAAGGCAGAGAGAGCTGTGCATGGAGGTGTTAATGGTTTTGAGACAAAGCCCTGATGCGCTCTGTCGGCTGCTCATATTAACAGGGACAGACTTTTGCATCTACACCATTGGTTCACATTTCTATTGGAAAAAGAAAAAATAAAAAGAGGGAGAATGTTTCCTCCATGTATTCTGCAGATTATGAAAATTACCCTCATATATTTCCATAGAAACAGAGTTAAGGGCTATTTAGACTCCCAGCTCAGCTTTGTGGCCCTCCACTTCGAGTCACTGAATGACCCAACAAATGAATTGTTCCTTCAGCACTATAAATTAGGTGATTTATGGTGAGACTTTTTTCTTTCTCTTTTTCTTTTTCTCTTTCAGTAATGAGAGGCAGATGCAGAGACCTCTTGGTTTAATTAAATACGGAGTTTACCAGAAAATCTGGGTTATATCCTTTTCCTAACCCAGTGGGATCCTGGACCCTTGGGATCAGCAGCGTATCATCTAATACTGAAGTTCCATGCTGATCTGCGTTAGAAAACAAATTGGCTGGATTAGCCCATTCAACCGTGTGGGTTTTGCTTTCTGTTCTCACCTCTGCCTGATGGTCTAACCAGTGCTCATCCAAGTGTGGTCCTTGGACCAGCAGTGCTGGCACCACCTGGAAGTTGGTTAGAAATGCAGCTTCTCAGACCCTACCCCAGACCTCTCCAATCAGAAACTCTGGGGTGGGGTCCAGCACTCTGTGTTAGTGAGTCTTCCAGGTGATTCTGACACAGGCTCAAGTTGGCCCTGAACTACAGTCTCCTTTGCTTCCTGAGCTTTCTGTTATGGTTAGCATCCCCATTCATTTGTGAGTTTTAATTTCTCCCTGGATTGATAACGCTTCTCCAATCTGTCTCTGGCCTGTCCCTCACCTGATTCCCAGTCTCAGTAGGACATTTCCTCTTTGATGTCCACCTGTTAGCACCAGCTCATCACCTTCCACAAATCTGAACTCCGCAGAATTCAGACCTGCTTCTTCAACAAGCTATGAGGCGCCTCACTGCCCAGCATCCAATCCTCTTGTCTCCCTTCTGTCCACATGGCTATGATGGATGACTTCTGGATCATGCTGCCCTGTCCACAGCCCTTTCCTGATAGCTGCTGGAAACTCTCCAGAGAGGAAATGAATTTAGGGAGGCAGTGTGATTTCTGACCATGGACAAAATTTGGGGCCAGAGAGATGGTAACTTTGACACTTATGACCCAAGGGAACAATATTGAGTCACTCAGTATCTCCAAACCTCAGCTTCTTCTACTATGAAATGGGGACACTTTTGACCTGGCATGGTTTTGTGAGGACTGGAGATAATGCTTATCACTTCCCTGGCTCAGTAGCAGGGCAGTGAATGTTAACTATTCTAAGTTGCTAGGATAATGTCCCTCCACAATGTGGCTCCTACAGCAGACAGCCTTGACTTGCTTTCCAATAAAACTTGAACTAATCTGGGAGAGGCAATCATGTAACTAGACTGTAGTGTGCTGTAGGACTTTGGGTAAGTCACTTCCCCTCTCAGCTTCCTTCTCTGTAAAACAAAGGGACAGGACTCGAATGGATTTTTAAGGTCTCTGTGAGCATTCCTGAATCCCTCATGGCACCTGGCATTGGATGGCAGCATCTCAAGCAGTCAAGAGAACCCTTGTGGATGATCCCTGCAGAAGGCTGGGGCCCACCTTGCCTTGGGAGGGTCTCTTACCGAGCAAGGGGGGGAGCCAGTTGACATTGGCTTCACAGTGTGAGTCTAAGAATGTGATGACATCCCCAGCTGCTGCAGAGGCCCCCAGCATCCGGGTCCTTATCAGCCCTTCCCGCTTCTTGGTTCGAAGAATTCTCACACTGGGGAAGAGGGCCATATAGTCTTCAAGTGGCTTCTTCAAGTGTTCTGTGAGAGAGACAGAAGAAGACAGATGGACAGATGGGTTAGAACAGCTGCTTAGTAATCACTCTTGTGACTGCTCCCTTACGTGTGCACCATATTTTATAGTTTTTTTTTATTAAAAAAATTTTTTTAACGTCTATTTATTTTTGAGAGAGAGAGAGACAGAGCATAAGCCGGGGAGGGGCAGAGAGAGAGGGAGACATGGAATCGGAAGCAGGCTCCAGGCTCTGAGCTGTCAGCACAGAGCCTGATGTGGGGCTCGAACCCATGAGCTGTGAGATCATGACCTGAGCCGAAGTCAGACGCTCAATCGACTGAGCCACCCAGGCGCCCCTGTACTTTATAGTTTAGACACAGCTTTCCCATACAATGCCTCATGGGACCTTTCAGATATGGCCAACGAGGACAGGGACCACCACCTGCATGCTGTAAATGGGGACTCTGAAGCTCAAAGAAGTCCAGGGATAGTGCCAGACCTGGAACACACAGAGATCATCTGCGTGAGAGTGTGGGCAGTGGTGGTTTATACTTGGCTGATACCTCTTCCCTCATTTTCTGGAATCAGCACTCTGATTTTTCTTAGTGAAACTGCCCCTCCCATTTTCCATCCATTATACTTTGGTGGGGCTCACCCACCCCTGGATCCAAGGGGGAGGAGCAGGTAGGATGGGCCTGACCAATCAGGGCATTCCATTTCCTTGCCTACAGTGATTGGTTCAGGAATGGCCATGTGACCCGAGTTGATCCAAATAATGAATCCTGAGAAGTTTTTTTTTTTTTTTTTTTTTTTTTTTTTTTTCAGAACTACTGAAAAACCAGGCCCTTTCTTCTCATTAGAGTTGCTAAGTTGGCTGGCCATAAATCTGGAGCTGCTGGTGACATCTTTGGCAAATGAGGTGATAAGAGTTGGGGGAGGGGCAGTTCTGCTGACATTGAAGTAAACATGTAAAAAGAATCAAGAGATGGAAATTATTCTGATGGCATTTTGATTCCCCAGATCCCTCTGTGCCTAAAGCAGATAGACTCCTAAATGTTCTTACTACACACGAAACAAATTCCTCTTCTTGCTTATGCTAATGTGGGTTGGGTTTCTATCCTGTGCCTGGTAAAGTCATTCTGAACAAATCTCAAAAATTATCTCTTTTTACTAAAAAAGTCCCAGCCTTAACACTGGTGTCTCTTTAGTTTAATCGGGGTTAGAGCACTTTATGAAAAATCTAGTATGGCTACAAAAAAAGTCCTAACGTTTATACCACACTTAATGATGAAATAGCGAATGCTTTTATCTGACGATCAGGATAAAGGCTGTATTCTCTCTCATCACTTCCATTCAGCATTGTACTAGAACTCCTAGCCAGTACAACTGGCAAGATAAAGAAATAAAGGCATAAAGATTGGGAAGAAAAAGGTAACAGTATCTTTACCTGTAGATGACATGATTATTTACATAGAAAAATCCTAAGAAATCTACAAAGAAGCTAGCAAGATTTCAGGATACCGGTTTAAATGTTGATTTAAAAATTAGTTGTATTTCTAAGTACTGGCAGATAAAAAAAAATTGGAAAATTCAATTTAAAATAGTAAGCATACAATTTGCAATTTAACAAAAGAAGTAAAATCTGTATACTTTGAAACTGCAAAAACACTGTTGAAAAATATTAAAGACTAAAATAAATGGAAAGACAGTCTGTGTTCATGGACTGGATGACTTAATATTGTTAAGATGGCAATACCTCCTATGTTGATCTACAGATTCAGTGAGATCAAAATCACAGCTGATCTTTGCAAAAATTGACAATTGACAAGCTGATCCTAAAATTTATGGAAGAGATCAACAGATCCAGGATAGCTAAAAATCTTTTGATTACTTACACATGAACATTTACAGCAATACTACTCACAACAGCCAAAGATTGGAAATAACTCAAGCTTCCATCACCTCACGAATGGATAAACAACTATGAAATATATTCATACAATGGAATATCACTCAACCATAAAAAGGAATGAAGTACTGATACATGGTACCATGCAGATGAACCTCAAACCATTACACCAAATAAAGGATGCCAGCCACAAAAGGTCACATGTTTTATCATTCTACTCATATGAAATTCCAGAATAGGTAAATTTATACAGCCAACAAACAAATTAGTGATTACCAGAGACTGGGGTAGAGAGAGACGGGGAGTGACAACTCAATGGGTATGGTGTTTCCTTTTGGAGTGATAAAACATTTTGGAACCAAGTGATGGTTGCACAACATTGTGAATGTACTAAATGCCAGTGAATTGTATACTTTAACATGGTTAATTTTTATGTTATGTGAATTTTACCCCAATTAAAAAAAAATGGGTAAAAGATCTGAATAGGCACTTCTCCAAAGGTGATATACAAATGGCCGATAAACACATAAAAGGATGTTCAACATCCTTAGTTACCAGGGAAATGCAAATCAACACCACAATGAGATACTACTTCACATCCACTAGGATGGCTATAATGCACAACTCAGGTAATAAGTGTTGACAAGGATGTGGAGGATAAGAATCTCTATATACTGTTGGTGGAAATGTAAAATGGTGCAGCCCCTTTGGAAAACAGTCTGGCAGTTCCTCAGTTAAGCACAGTTACCATATTACCCAGTAATTCCATTCCTAGGTGTACACCCAAGAGAAATGAAAACACACATCCACCTCAAAATGTGCGTACTAGTGTTCATAGCAGCAATATTCAAAATATCCCCATATTGAAAACCATAGAAATATCCATCAACTGATGAATGAGTGAACAGAACGTAGTATATCCACACAATGGATTTTATTATTCCACAATAAAAAAGGAAAGAGCGATTAAGACAATATGGATGAACCTTAAAAAGAGTATTCTGTGTTAAAGAAGTCAGACACCTAAGACTAGATATTATATGGTTCTATTTATATGAAATTTCTAGGAAGACAAAATTACAGGGACAGAAAGGAAGTCAGCAGTAGTCTAGAGCTAGGTTGGGAGTGGGGACTGATTACAAACAGGCACAAGGGAACTTTCTGGAGTGATGGAAATATTCTAAAACTGTATTATAGTGATCATTTTAAAACTGTATAAACTGACCCAAGAACTGAACTGCAGATTTAAAATGGGTGATTTTTGTGTTATGCAAATTATACCTGAATAAGGTTGTTAAATGGAAAAAAAAATGTATTTCTATATCCTGGCAAAGAACAATTGGAAAGTACAATAAAAATACCATTTATAATAGCTTCATATAGATAAAGACCCAAATAAATGGAGAGATAAATCATACATATAGACTTGAAGACTCCATATTGTTAAAGAGTCAATTCTCCTCAAATTCATCTATAGATTCAACATAATCCCAATGAAATCACAGCAGGTTTTGAAATTGACAACTTTCAAAGAACCTAAACTGTGAAAACAAAAACAATCTTAAAAAAGAATAAAGTTGGAGGACTCACTGATTTCAAAACTTATTACAAAGTCAGAATAATCAAAACAATGTAATACTGGCAAGGAATAAACATAACCAATAGAACAGAATAGAGGAGCCAGGGGTATACCTATATATATGTCATTGACTGACTGGTTTTTGACAAGGGCACCAAGGCAAATTCAATGAGAATATAAAAGAATTTTTAAAATGTGCAACAAAACAAATGAAAAGAAAGACAAACCAAGAAACAGATTTAACTATAAAGAACAAACAGATGGTTACCAGAGGGGAGGTGGTGAGGAGATGGGTGAAATAGGTGATGGGGATCAAGAGAACATTGGGGGCACCTGGGTGGCTTAGTTTGTTAAGCGTCCAACTCTTGATTTCAGCTTGGGTCACAATCTCATGGTTAGTGGGTTTGAGCCCCTGTTGGGCTTTATGCTGATAGTACAGAGGCTGCTTGGGATTCTCTCTCTCCCTCTCTCTCTCTGTCCTGCTCTGTCTCTCAAAATAAATAAATAAGCATTAAAATAAAGAGCACACTTACGATGATGATCACTGAGTAATGTACAGAATTGCTGAATGGCTATGTTGTGCACCTAAAATTACCATGACACTGTATGTTAACTATACTGGAATGGAAATAAAAAACTTGAAAAAATAAAACAGCTAGCATAACTGGATAAACACATGAAAAAAGATGAACCTCAACCTCTACCTCCTACCATACACAACAAATAATTTTAGATGGATAGCAGGTTTAAATATAAAGGCTAAAGTTATAAGGTTTCTTGAAGAAACATAGGAGAATATTGTTGTAAACTTGGGGTAGGAAAAGATCTCTTAAGACATAAAAAGCACTACCCCATAAAAGGGAAGACAGATAAATTGGACTTGATTAAGAACTTGCTCTTCAAACTTTGCTCATCACAACACATCAAAGACATCAGTAAGAAAATGACAAGGCAGGCAACAGTCTGGGAGAAAATATTCACAATACATGAATCTGACAAAGGACTTGTATCAAGAATATGTAATGGATTCCACCAAAGTCAATAATAAACAGATGACCAACTTAAAACTAGGCAAAAAGCTATGAAACATTTTTACAAAAATACATTTCACAAAAGAATTGATATACAAATAGCCAACAAGCATATGAAAAGATGTGACTCAAATTAAAAGCCTGAGATGCCATTTGCTATACATTCCCCACGGAGAGGAGTTAAGATGGTGCAAGAGTAGGGGGGCTCTAAGTTTGCTTCATCCCTCAAATACAGCTAGATAAATATCAAATCATTCTAAACACCCAAGAAATCAATCTGAGGGCTGAGAGAACAAAACCACAAGTCTACAAGTAGAAAAACGACTACTTTGTGGAAGCTTCTTTTAACAAGCAGATCAAAGCACCTAGATCTAGGGTTTGTTTCTTCTTCTTCTTCTCTGGACAAAATGACAAGATGGAAGAATTCATCCCAAAAGAAAGAACAGGAAGTTGGAGCATGTGGGTGGCTCAGTCAGTTAAGTGACTGACTTCGGCTCAGGTCATGAT